AATTGTAATAAAATTATTTTTATGCATAAATAATGCATTTTATTCTCAGTTTAACAGAATTCTGGAAGAGTTATGACATTAGAAGCATAGGCAAAGCACAGCATGAATTAACGACAAGCAATATGAGGGCAATACGAAAACATGTCACATTATGCAAACGATTTTATTGGTTTTGAAGCTCATTTTATTGAAGCTATTAATAACACAGTGGAAACTGAACTATAAAAAGGTTTTAACAAGTCAGATTTTAAATTTAATATACAGATTTAATTTCTTAAATATCTTGCAAGACCCTTCTTCTCAACTTTCTCCTTACAGATGAGACATATTTAATCATACCACCAACCTTTTGCACTCCCTTGTCACCAATAATGCCACATTCAAAACAAGAACTTTAAATCCACTGTCCCTGGAATGGCAATATGCTTGTTTTGTTTACTTAAGCACTTTTGTACAGACTGACACATCTGTTTATCAATGAAACTTCACCTTCACCTTCGGAATCAGGTTCAATGAGTTGAATAATTCCATAAATTAGTGAATTTTGTAATAGTTGCCTTGGGAAACCCCACAGGCAAATAGGTGACTATTTCAAAAATACCACATTGACAAATTACAAAACACAGAATTTTCTTTTTTTTTTTTTTTAAAGATTTATAATTCTACAAACATATAAATAAAACAACTCATTATTCATTAGAGATGAGACTAACTTTTAATTTCATTTTCTCAATCATTATATATAAAAAAAAATCTTCTGTAAAAAGATTATAAACCAAATGTTATAGACACAAATTTTATTAAATTTTAAGGGAATCAGATTTGAAAACTTAATATATTAGCAATTTTCTTACACATATAAATATAGTTGTAGAATTTACAGATTAAGGATCTTGTACTGTTTTGATTTTAAAAATTTTCAATGAGCAGATTATATATCCAAAATTGATTATTTATAATAAAATTTGATAAGAGGACTGATAAGCTTAAATTCTATTCATATAATGCTCAAAAAATATAACTGAAATTTCAAATCTTTGTGAATTTAAAGAAATGTCTGCAGAGGAAATATAACTTGCATTTTCCACATGTTGGCCTTAAAATTAATAAAAGAAACATAATTATTTGAGCTGTTTAAGATGAGAGTAATACACAAAATTCTAACAGGAAAATTTTAAACCCATTAACCTTTCAAAAGGTATGGTTTTAGGTCTTGTAAAAACCTGTATTTAAACAGCTTCTATAAGCTAAATTTTCATAGCTACTTATTTTAATGTTTTCATAAACTTCAGTCTCCAAAAACGACATTTACTTTACTACAGAAAATAAGAATGCAAAATATTTAAAATTACAATCTAAAATATACTGACCAAAAAAAATCTCAGGACTGGTTAAAGATGATTACGCCACTCAGTGTTAAAAGTACTTGGCATACATTCCAAAAGTTTATTTTCAAAATTGCTAACTCATCCTCTTAAGAATTTTTCAGACATACCAGTTTATGAAACTTCAGGAAAGAAATGGATGCTTTCATACCAGTATTGCCAGATAGTGCAGCCTTGCAGAAATTTGCTATTTAAGACAAACATGTACAACTAAAATTTACGTGTACGAGATTTTTCAAAATTTTTACTATTTCACCATTTCCTTATGCCACTTCAAAAATTTTTAATTCAGTCAAAAATAATTAATCCGGACCTCAAAGCTGCAAACTTTCTGCTCGTGCGTTTACACATGCGCATAATATGTTTACGCATGTGCGTTTAATGTATAACTGACAGTACAAGCTAAGCTAAAATGATCTAATTATCTATTTCAGTTAATGTTGCAGATTGCATTGTTCCTTAATCTTCTAATTGGATCCGGCTTATTATTTTTTGCAGACTGTTGGAGTAATTTTATAAAAGTAAGCTTGAACTGTCGATTATGTCAAAAAGAATTTCCAATTCTAGAGCTGCCAAAGGATCTACAAGGCGAAAGCATGTTTCGATGTCCATCAAAGAAAAAGTGGAATTGCTGCAAAAAATGGATAAGGCATATCCTTTGTTTCTCCAACCATTCCGAAATCTGTTTATCAATTTCACGCTGCTCTGTGGGGGGAGGGGACACCGCAGCATGCAATGAACTGGAAGTTGATCTGTCAGCACTATTCTTATCTCCAGGGCAGATGCTATTATTTTATTCGGCTTATAATTCCCTAACTAAATGTATTTCATCTCAAGTACTCAGTCTTTGATATTATTTAAATCAAATTTCTCGTCATTCTAAATATCCCGAATACACATCAAATAGTTTTCTGGTTAAAATTTTCCAATTTCGACTATGCGTAATGTATGCTTTACGCATGCACGCGTTAAAAGAAATGTTTAATAAAGTAAACAAATAAATATTAAGCTTTTTTTCATAAATTTTGATACCCTTAAGATCATAATAGCTCTTTATTTCATAAATTACGGTTTCATATTTTTAATTTTAAAATTTCTGCATGCCGTCTTACCAGATTTAAACCGATGATCTATAATCCAGAATCGCCGAAGTCCGGATTAAAGACTTCTGACTGTATACCGTAAAATGCTTATAGGTTAAGATAATTTATCTACTAAAATTATAATAAATAATTTATTTAAGCTTGAATAGACGTTGGCATCTGGTAATGCTGAGATCATAAAGCAGGTTAAAGCAATTTTCAGCACTAGTCGCTGGTGTTTAACCCCTTGGTCCAGTTTTTTATAGTTTTTATTTTAAAGTTTGTCGATAAGCAATACACAGTTAGACTCAAACTAAAGAATGTATTTGGAACTCCTGGACTCCATACTTTGAATGAAGATGTCAGTGGAATGAAAACAAATCTGCTGCATTTACTTTGTATCCTCACCACCCATGCATATATACAGCTCAGGCATTCATTAAACAAAAAAAAGGATAACAGGCTAAGAAAATGAACCGATTAAAAAATAGGGCTTTTGAAGCAAAGATTTATTGGATTACTGATATCCTTTCTGTTTGGTTGACTTATTTAAATTCATCAGAATATGATTCTCCATTCTTTCATTCTTAAATTTTTGTTATTTAGAAAATGATTTTGCTTTTTAAGTCACATCGATTGTTTAGTTCTTAGCAATATTATAATCAAGAGAATGAATTTCATTTTCTCTCTCCGAGTATCCAATATATTGTGCTCAGGCTGTATATCATATCATCATAGACTTGGGGAAGACTGACTGAGAATTTGTAAAGCAATAAAACCAGTATTAGTATTAAGGTGCATAACTCTGTTTTTGCAATATTTCTTTTTTACAAGAAAATGAACAGGATTAAAAAATAGGGCTTTTGGAGCAAAGATTTATTGGATTACTGATAGGGTAATTCCATGTAAAAAAAGAAATATTGCAAAAACAGAGTTATGCACCTTAATACTAATACTGGTTTTATTGCTTTACAAATTTTCAGTCAGTCTCCCCCAAGTCTATGGTGATATTACAGCCTGAGCACCATATATTGGATACTCAGAGAAAATGAAATTCATTCTCTTGATTATAATATTGCTAAGAACTAAACAATCAATATGACTTGAAAAGCAAAATCATTTTCTAAATAACAAAAATTTAAGAATGAAAGAACGGAGAATCATATTCTGATGAATTTAAATAAGTCAACCAAGCAGAAAGGAAAACTCATTGAAAAATATTAAAAATTAAAGTAATGAAAAACTTAATGAATTGCCAACTCAAAAATATTAGCACAAAAGCACTAACAATCCAAATGTGATGCAGCACTTAATGAATATGAACAAAAAATTTTATAATAAACAACCTAAATTAAAATTGAGAACCAATATTAAAAAATGAACATTTAAACAATGGATAATTAACCATATAGTTCTAAAATGTTCATCAAAACTAAGATAACTACTAAAAACAAATAAGAATTGAATTACAGAACCAATGAGAACTGAATTTGTGACGTTAGAGGTAACGTGAACATACGTAAAACTACATCAACAACAAAAATTTTGTGATCACCGAGAACATGTGCTACTTAGTTGAATTATTTCTGGCAATTCTGTTTCACACAACACCTTTGTTATTGACAAGATAGAAAATAAGGAATGCAGATCTTAAAATGTATACAAATTATTCACGTTTCTCTTTAAAATACATTTTTATTGATTTTGCTCTAGCTATGTGGAGCTCTTACACTTTGAACTATATTGCAAATCTTTTAAAAACCAGATAGATTAAGGTAACCAAACATGTCTACCATGAAGACTGCCTGCAGCTCTAAACTGAACCTGGAAAATACTTTTCACAGCACATAACTATTATAATTCTTTTCCCCGTTTGCTTTTTTATATTGGCAGTTTTTACTTACTAGTTACCACTTAACTGGCAGCAGCTTCAATTTTACCTACATGATTTGAGTAAAATGAAAACGATATTAAAACTTCAGTCGTAACTGATTACGGCAAAGAGGATCCTGACATCAGATGGATTCCTTGCTGAAAAAATTTGAGGAAAATTAGTTTGTACTAACATTACACTTTCAACAAACCCATTCATCTTCAGCTATGGCAAATCTTTAGGAGTGACTAAAAATTAATGAAATATGAATTTGTTATTTTTTAACCCTCTAACTATATATATCTTATATGAATATACGGCCTAAAATAAATTTTTGTGATATCTGTAAGAATGTATATATACGCGCATATTAAAATATGTCAAAGAAATTAAGGCAATATATTAAAAGTACACAAATCCAAGTATAAAATACCAGTATAATTTTTACATGAAAAAGAAAATACTTTTTTCTTATCATAGTTTTAAGAAATTTGTGCTTTCTTAACGAAAACCCCGGCTCAGAGGGGGAAATAAAAAAATTACTAGGTAATTTCTTCCTCAACTTAATGACATTCTCCAAAAGATCATCATTTCTGATGTAAAATTTTTACTCCAGCTTTTCCAATAAGAATACATGAACTTATCACAAAAAACAAACATTTTTAACAATGATATTTATTTCTAAATTGCACAATCAGAAAATGAATTCCAAGTGCCTTCTTTATCCATATGACATTATGTACAAACAAGATGAGTATCGTTTACATAGAGAAAAATAATCTTCATAAATTTAACATGTTAAATCAGAGAAAAGAAGAATCTGAAGATTACAAAAATCTTAGATATAAAAAGTTTTGCACAAATTTAACAGTACCGGAAGAATGGATACATGATGATGAATGAAAACAATGATAGTAGAAATATTATCCAAAAGTGAACACGAGTTACATGATTATTTCTTAATAGCTGGTTTTTCTTTTTCATCAGAGTTTCCAGTGTGCCAAGTAAGACGTTCCTCATAAAACTTTATTACAACTTGTGGGCAGATCTTATTAGCATCCTTAGCCGTTACAAGATCAGCTTCATCGCATTCCTTCCTGTAAATATATTTCAGATGCATAAGGGCTGTTAATTCATCACACAATATACACTCTATAACAAAACAAACAAACAAACAAACAAAAAAAAAAAAAAAAAAAAAAACCGAAGTACCAAGGAGTTGTCCAATGGAGACAAAAATTCATGGATAGGAAGATTATGTAGAGATAGAAAATGATTAAAATTTCAGAATAATTAAATGATTTATTTCAGTTACATAGTTACAAAGTAACAAGCTCTATAAGGTATTCACCCACTTCTAGCCTAGCTGCCACACAGTGTGGTATAGAGCTCCCGGGTCTCCTGCAGTATTTCTTACCAAATTTGCTCCAATTGTTAGGCTAAGTCATCAAAATTCCCTGGTAGTTGCACTTGCATTCCCATCATATCCCAGACATGCTCGACTGGAGAGAAATCTAGTGGGCCTAAGAAGTGTTTAATAAGCTACAAGACGGTTCATAGCAACACATGCCACATGTGGTCTGGCATTATCAGGGCCCGACTTAGCCTAACTGGGACCTGGAGCAAAAGCATTTTTTGGGCCCCCCCCCCTCTGCTTCACTACTTCAGTAACGAACAAGGGAACTTTTTGGAGACATTTAAACTTTAATAATAATAAACTTTCTATTGAATCTGAGGGCCCTTCTGTGATGTGGAGGCTCAGGGCAACTACTCCATATGCCCCTGCCTTAGTCAGGCTCTGTGCATTATCTTACTGAAAAATAAGGACAGGGCAAAGGAATGGTAGCAAAACAGGTCTCAGAATGTTGTTGATGTACCGCTGTGCTGCAAGTGTGCCTCTAATGATGACCAAAGGGATCCAACTAAAGGGAAATGGCACCCTAAACCATAACTCCTGGTTGAAGGCCTGTGTAACATGCAATAGTGAAAGCAGGATCCGCACGCTGCTCTGGGATCTCCAGATACGTCTTCGATGATCATCATGACACAGTTGGAAGCAGGATTTGTAGCTAAAGACTACATGTCCTCAGTCAGCATCATTCCAACCTAATCGAGCCAAGCACGACTGTGATCTGGCTTGACAGCATGCAGGCGTGAGAAGCAGGTAGCATAAGGGTTGGTACAAGAGTACATTTCTCTTTATCAGTCGTCTGTGAATGGTCACGGTGGACACTCGTGTGTGGGTGCATGTCTGATGGTTGATAGCGATAGATCAGGCGCTGTGACAACTGATCTGACAATCATTCTGTCCTCCCGATTTGTTGGGGCCCTAGGTCAACCGCTACCATCACGATACTGAAATCTGCCACTGTCCACCCATTCCTGCCAGCATCTTCTAATCTCCGCATCACTTCGACTCGTATGACGAGCGATTCTCCGATTTGCTCAACCTGCCTCTTTCAATCCAATGATACGACCTCTTTTAAACTCCGACAGTTGCTCGAAATGAGCTTGAATCCTGCGGCGAAGCATTTTTTTCAGTCGTTGAAAGATATCCTAAATTGCAGTGCAACAGAAATTTTTAACAATGCAAGAACAGCTCCTTATATACATCTGCTGGATGCACTGAAGATCACCTATTCATTCATTGGATACCAACAAAACATTTAGGCAAACAAAATTTCAAGCAATCGGATAATTCCTTTTGGTACGTTGATTTTTTTTTTTAATAATGTATTTCAAATTTTAAATTATGCACAAACCATTCTATAAAACAAAGGAAATCAAAAATACTTTTTAGCTTGATTTCAAGAGAAATTACATTTCAAATTCAATTCTGAGTAAAAAATAGTTTGCTTTTTTTAGTCTGAATAAAGTAGTGGTTATCAACCTTTTTTGCCCCATACACGCTTTCATCATTGGCAGACTATTATCCCCTCCTTTCCAAAATTTGTAAAATACCTATACATTTTATTTTTTTAAGGTGTTCTATAAATTAAACAAGTATACAAAACATTGATAAACACTGAAACTTAAATAAAAGTTTTCATATTTATAAAACATATTTAGTTTTTATATTTATAAAACATATTTAGTTTTTATATTTATAAAACATATTTAGTTTTTATATTTATAAAACATATTTAGTTTTTTTATATTTATAAACATATTTTTAGTTTTTATATTTATAAAACATATTTAGTTTTTATATTTATAAACATATTTAGTTTTTATATTTATAAAACAATCTAACTGGCAAGTTAAAAGGCTCCCGGCATTTCTGGTAGTACTATAACATTTAATATAATAATCCAGCCATGTAATAAAAGTATATACGATTTCTTAATATTTATGTATTTACAAATACTAGTTAGGTATTAATGCTTGTATTTGCCAGATACATTATGTGCCACCTTGCATATATTTATCTACAAAATAAAGCTAATAAATTAATACCATTTGATCAGAAACAACAGTTCTCCATTTGTTTCAGTAGCTCCAATAATCCTGTCTGGTTCAAAACCCCGAGCAAAGCCTCTAGGACGCTTCTCCTGGAAAGATATTAAAAAAAGTCTAATATAAGCATTCATGAAGCATACATTTATCTTATCTTTACAAATGGATACAAAAGTAAATTATTTTTATTAATATATATATTTTTTTACATTAAATATAAAAAATATCTTTCAATTGAACTAATTTTTAGATTAAAATTGCATGGGGAAATACATCACGCATAATCAGATATACACATGATCAAAATCTGACTACAGCTCAATACATCAAAGCTACCAAATTTATAATTACATTTGATTTAATTATAAAAGACCAGTAAAATAAAATTTAATAAGGTGTATGTTTAACCATAAGATGGTATTATGTTACATTGTGTCTGTATCTGTATGCTTAGCAACATTACCTGAGATATAGCAGTGAAGTTTTCGGACAAACTGCCTGCAATAATGCAAGATGTTGGATCAAATATGCAACTTGTTGTTGCATCTAACATCTTTGTATTATGTGTTGTGTTTCATGCAATAAATGTCTTACCTACATATAACAACCACCTAGTGTACATAAAGCATGGAATCTTTCAACAGTACTAGGATTGTTTGATTACTGTTATATAAATTTTAGTAAAGTTACATCACATCTGAACTCATGCTTTCTTCCATAAAGAAACAGGAAGTGAATAGAATGCTAAATGTTTACCCTGAAGGAAGATTCATTTGCTTTAGTTCTTAACTATACAGTCAAAAGTCGTTAATTCGGACACCCATAATCTGGACCTCAAAGCTAAAATCTTTCTGCGCATGCGCCGCGTTGACGCATGCACATAGGCGTTGACGCGTGCACGCAAGACCTTTAGGACTGCACATATGCGTCTGCGCAACCGCACAATAAGTTTTCGCGTGCGCGTTTAATGTATAACGGACAGTATAAGCTAAAATTATCTATTTCAGTTAATGTTGAAGATTGCGTTGTTCCTTAATCTTCGAATTGGATCCGGCTTATTATTTTTTGCAGACTGTAAGAGCAATTTTATAAAAGTAAGCTTGAACTTTCGATTATGTCAAATAAAATTTCCGATGCTGGAGCTCCCAACAGATCTACAAAACGAAAGTATGTTTCGATGTCCATCAAACAAAAAGTGGTATTGCTGCAATAAATGGATTAAGACATATCCTTTCTTTCTCTAACCGTTCCGAAATCTGTTTATCAATTTCACGCTGCTCTGCGCGGGGGAGGAGGGGGACGTTGCGGCGCGCAATTAACTGGAAGTTAATCTGTCAGCACTATTCTTATCTTCAGGGCAGATGTTTTTATTTTATTCCGCTTATAATTCCTTACTAAATGTAGTATTCCATCTCGATGTACTCCGTCTTTGATATGATTTAAATCAAATTCCTCGTCATTATAAATATCACGAATACAAATCAAATAGTTTTCTGGTTGCAATTTTCTAATTTCGTCTATGCGTAATGTATGCTTTACACATGCGCACGTTGAAAGAAATGTTTAATAAAGTAAACAAATAAATATTAGCTTCTTTTTTTGTAAATTTTGATACCCTTTAGATCATAACTGCTCATTATTTTATACATTATGGTTTCATATTTTTAATTTTATAATTTCTGCATGCCATCTTACCAGATTTAAACTGATGATCTATAATCCGGAATCGCCAAAGTCCCGACGAGTCCCGATTAAAGACTTTTGACTGTATATGAATTTCTAATATTGTTTAAGACGCTCGTGCGGGGTGGAAGGGAATCGAAGGCAGTCACAGTACAGGACAGAGGTTTTGCATCGCTAAGCCTAATTTTATAAAAAAATCAGAACAAAAAGTTTCGCTTCTAGCATCGTAATTTTTGGTATCATTTTAGATTATTACTTAAGCTCTTATATATGTTAAAATTAGCACTTAATGTTTTTTTCTTTATTTTACATGAAAATATACTTAAAAAATTGCTTATCTTGTAAAATAATTTTCGGAAGTGCTATTAAATTTTTGCCAAAGTTTTAAGTGATAAAAATCCATCAATAAATTTTTAAATTAATAAAACAACACAAAAAAGACTATTTACAGTAAGAAGTAACAAAATTTAAAATGAAGACTGAGTGCGGTGAAAAATATCCCTTCTAACTCTTAGAAAAAGTATCACTTTCTAACTCTTTAGAAAATGAATCATGACCCTCATGTGGGTTAATAAATGGTTCATTGACCATACCAGGGTATTCTTCCTCTGATAAATAGGGGCTTTCCAAAATAAAAAGTGAAAAACGTACTCCACATACTAACCCTTAAAGACTGTGCATAGTAAAGGAAAAAATAGAATAAAAAAAAGGAATTGGATATAAATCAGACATGCGAATGTTTTCATTAGCAGGCAGGGATTTAAAGAGCTCATCTCTGTTTACGCTTTCCCTCCCCCCCACCCTGGCTCCAGCTGATGAGTGAAATACCAAAGTCAAGCAGAAATATATCTAACTCAGGGTCAGGAACCTAAAACTGTGTTCATTTCAAAAGTAATGGACATAGGATGGCATCTGGTGGCCTTTAAAAAAACCTCCAGCTTAAAATGATGCGACCTCTAGCCATGCCTGGATGGGACGCCTGTCCTGAAAGGGTTAAATATCAGTTATTTCATATGCCGACCTTAAACAAAAAAAATTAATCATATGAACTAAATACTACAGATTCTAAACTTGAGGAATTCTCTTAAACATAAAGAAAAAAACTTCCAGTTGCCATGATTAACACTTCCATTTTTAATATAATGTCAAAAATAAATTAATTAAAAGTTAAAATATTCTGGCTAGTTATTATATAAAATTCAGAACTCAATTATAAAATACAATGATTTTTTCTATACAATAACCACAATCCAAATGATCATTTCAAGAAGTTCTCTGTACCTCAGTTGAATGTTTCTTGCTTGGAGGCGTATCTGAAGTTTCACTTCCATTCAACTTTCTCTTCTTCTCTTTTAATTCTTTCTTTCTTTTCCATTCTTCCTCAAATTCCCTGATCATATCAGGACAATCTAAATTTTCAACTGGTTCCCATGTGTTATCATCCCTAAAAAATAAATAAAACTACATAAAATAAAGTACATAAATTTATTTTCTGAACTTTATGCAACCACTTTAAAGTTTGATTTAAAAAATTTTAAAATATCTGATCATCAAAATGCACTCATAATCGCATTTTAAATATTTATCCATATTACTTCAGAATGGCACCTGTTATGCACATACCTGGATTGTCAGATAAAATACCTTTTAGCAACACGAGTTACCTCACGACTATTTTGGCAATACAGCACTTTGCCTCATATTTTTCATTGGAGATGCAGATAATCTATCATTAACAAATATCCTTTAAAGAACTGCTAAAATCTAAATTGTGCTAATGCGGTTTTGCAGCTGAAGATGATGGTTCGGTAAAACCATCAAAACTAGTCCTGTGAAAATTTTGTAGGTATAACGCTGATTTTGTTGTTTGACTTCTGAATTAGTATTTATTCGGCGTGTTATTGTGTCTTAATCTAAATTGTGATTAGATAAATACAATATTAAGAAGTTTATGACAAGAGAATGCAATACTTTTCTTTGAATTTTGTATAATCTTTATGCTGAATAGTGTGTACACTTTACAGAAGAATGAATTTGATAATTTTAGAATGTGTAAATAACTTGCAGCAACACATTTGATGTTCTAAGACTTCTAAAATATGTTGCTTTAATGCCTACAAATACATATCGGACCAGATCCTGGGAAACAATGCTGCTCTCCAAACTGAATGCGTGCCTGATAATTGACCCATAAAAAGGGAAACATGTCAGAAGTACCCACCAGAAGAAAAATGCAGCAAAAATGCATCAAGTGCAACCTCGCAATATGTGGACAGTGTCAAAGAAACATATGAACAGACTGTACTAAAGAATAATTGTGAGCTTGAACAAAGAAACTGAGCTTGTAAACTTTACATTACACCAGTATATATGTCAATATTTGGTAACAAGTTTCCTGCCTTTTCAAAATTTCAAACTTTTAACAAATATATTTATTATCAGTTATGTTTAATAATCTTTGTTAACTTTAATGCTTTAATTTTTTACTGCCTTATGCATAGACTTCAACCTTCAGCAAACCTTGTCAGTAGTCAACGCGCGAACGACATTTTTACAACTTTGAAAATGTGCGCGTAGCGTATGTTGTAATTAACCATTCATTAATTTTAAGTTAATAATTAATTGTAATCAATTTTATTACATTTAAAATCCATATACATATAAAACTGAATAATTAAAAATATACCTTGTAATTTATATGCACATTTAATTAGAAATTTTCTTTTAACTCCTCAAGCATTCACTAATAAAAAGTACTTCAAATCACTACTAATCATAGAAAAAATCAGAAGCTATAAATCATATCTTTATTCTGGATATGATTTCTACAGGGAAACAAAATTTAAATAACCAAGAATGATACATATAAGTATTAAACAAAATACGCATAATTTATGAATGCAAAGATTTATATGTAGCATGCTTAGCAAGCTTAAGTTCTGATTTTGAGAATGTTTTTTTATAACACAGTTCTTCATTTGCCTGCATATTTATTTTTTCAATCAAAACTGCTTCAAGAGTTTTAAGACCTAAATTTGGTCGAAATTCCGTCTGATTTTTTTTAACAATTGAAAAAATTCTTTCGCAAGCTGCATTTGAACGAGGTATTATTAAGACAGCAAGCATTACAGTACGCAATACTTTGTATTTAATACACCCATTCATATTTTTTAATTTGGCAATTTCTTCCTATGCTATATCAATATGCAAATCTACAATTTCTTTCAAATCATCTACTTGATACATGGAAAATTCAACTTCCACTTGATTAAGATATTTTTCATCAATAATGGATGGAAAAGTATTCATCAAGTAAAGAACAGATGAAAATGAAACTTCAGTTCTCAAGTTGATGTCAGCAACTTCAGCATGTTTTAGAAATGGATCACTCAGTGGAAATTTATCAATTATATATGAACATGCAGTTACAAAAAAAGCTCGCACAGAATTGAAAAATGATTTCACTTCACTGTCATTCAACTTGGCATTTTTTAAATATAGTCTTGTTTCCGCACCAATCACTAAATTTTCATTTTCTTTTTGTTTACTATACTTCTGAAATGGAATAGATGTTAGAGTAACATCTTCATTTTCTTTAGAAATTACTGATGGTTTTACGAATCTAACAAATAAATTCATTAAAAGTTCAAAAAGTTCTCTTCTCAATTTATGTATATAAGGAGCTTGTTGTTGCAAATTAATATTTACTGTTATAAACAAAGGCAAAGTATTTTTCAAAAATAACAAGTACAGTTTGGTGGTCGGTGACTGTAAAATTTTTTTAATGTTTTGCAATCTCTTTCCTTCATTCTCACTGTTATCTGGTTTACCTCGAAAAAAATTTATCACAGCATCCCACTGTTCCAAAATCCTTGTTATAGATTCTAAAAGAGACAACCATCTCGTACTGCAATATTTCAAAATTTTATGAGATTTTGCATTCTGTCCCAAAATTTGTTGAGCAACTTTGAAGCTATGCTTCCGTTTCGAACTTTTCTCCAAGTAAAAATATATATCTATTATCAACATTTCAATTTCTGAGCCAATTAATTTTTCAGTACTTTTTTTGCAGCTATATGCAAGAGGTGGCACGGACAACCTCGGGTGATTATACTTGGTTGATGCATTTTGATAAATGATGCTACACCTTTAAACTTTCCAATCATATTACTAGCATTATCTGAAGAAAATGATAAGCAATTTTTCCATTCTAAACCTTTGTTTTTAAAGTTTTCATTTATACAATTAAAAATACCTTCTCCTGTATTATTCGTGCATTCTAAAATAGAAATCAATGAAGTAATTATCACTCCCTTTTCTTTACTGTAGTATGTTATAACCAATGGGTACAGTTTGTTATCATTGTTATCATTACTTCCATCAGTACTTAGAGAAAATGATGTAACTGCACACTGATTTTATAATATCAGCAACAGTATTTTCTGCAAGCGTTTTCACAATAGCAGCAGTCTTGGTATGACCGCAGCTAAATTTTTTTGCTATGGCAGAATCCGGAAACATTGCTTTGAAAAGCTCTTTGGAATGATCCGAAACAGAAAGCGGTAGATTATGTTCAATTAAAAAACGAACAAAATAGCATTCGGCTTTTATAGGATCTGTTTCATCATCTTTTATTAAGAAATTTGTTATTTCTTTAGATTTTACGGTGCCAAGTTCTATATGCTTTTGAGAAAACACATGCCGTTTACAGTCATCTTTTCCGACATGAGCAACTGAGAAGTCTTTGTTGCATACACTGCAGTGTGCGTGATTCACAGAAATTTCGGACGCTTTAATGCATGGAAATTCTGAAGAATATGAATCTTTAAACTTCTGCTTTGATAATTTTGGCTTCTTCGTTCGAGGCAGCATTATGATTAAAAATCTTTCACCTGATTCAGTTCACAAGACACACGCTAAGCTCTCGCCGTAAACTACACAATGCAGCCGAATGCAGCCTAAACACGCATCAGCGAGGAACCTGGGAGACAGACAATTGGGTAGAACTATTGATAAGTCGTTAACGGTTGGAGTTACTGATCTACGATTGGCTAATTCTTCAAAACTAGGAACGCACTCAACACGTGATATATGATAACACGAGTATTCAGCCAATCATCGGATGAATTAGTTGGTTCCGTTTTGCGTACTGGTTCTCCTGCTCTTGTTTCTGTAAAATCCGTAGTTTTTTCCATACTTTTCGTAGCTCGTAGTTTTTCATGAATTTCCGTAGAAACTACGGAGAATCCGTAGTAGTTGGAGTCTATGCCTTATGTTGTTTTTTAAATTGTAAAATAGGTTAAAAAACATTCAAAATGCATACACGATCAAAATGGCCATAAGTGTACCTTTGTGTTATAATGAATATGTGTTCTTATACGTGTTTAACAGTCAAGAAAAAGTTTAAAAAATTTCTCATCCAAGCCCAGAAATATAGGTACTTAAAAAAAAAAAAACACTGTATAAAGTAGCCATCTGGGTCAGTCACTAAAACTGGTACATGGTTAAAGTACTACAAGTCGTTAATCCGGACTCGTCGGGACTTCCGGATTATAGATCATCAGTTTAAATCTCGTAAGATGGCATGCAGAAAATCTAAAATTAAAAATATGAAACCGTAATTTATGAAATAAAGAACAATTATGATCTAAAGGGTATCAAAATTTGCAAAAAGAAAAAGCTTAATATTTATTTGTTTACTTAATTAAACATTTCTTTCAATGTAAGTTGTTTAAGTTTTGCTTCCTTTTCATGTGATAATACTTTCTCTTTAATTCTATTAAACAGACATAATTTCTTGTTTAGTTACAAAGTTCCGCTGTTCAAGACCTATAATTGCTGTGTCAAGAACACCCACTAATTTATCAATCCTAATTTATCAATCGAAATATTTTCGTTTTCAACAACCTCTGTTACTTTTCTTCGCTATCAGAAGCGAATTATAATGACCAGGAACTTGTTTTAAATCATGAGATGAAATACTACATTTGGTAAGGAATTATAAGCCAAATAAAAACATCTGCGCAAGATAAGGATAGTGCTGACAAATCAACTTCCAATTCATTACGCGCGGCGGCGTTCCCCCTGCCCAGCAGCGTGAAATTGATAAACAGATTTCGGATTTCAAAACATACTTTCGCTTTAGATCCTTTACATGTTAACAAATATATATCGGAAATTCTATTTGATATAATCGAAAGTTTAAGCTTACTTTTATAAAATTGCTCTTACAGTCTGCAAAAAATAATAAGCCGGATCCAATTCGAAAATTAAGGAACAACGCAATCATCAACATTAACTGAAATAGATAATTAGATAATTTTAGCTTATACGTCCATTATACATAAAACGCGCACGCGAAAACGTATTCTGCACTTGCGCACACTCATGCACACTCATATGCGCAGTCGTAAAAGGTCTTACACGCACACGTAAACGCCTATGCGCATGTGTCAACGCGGCGCATGCGCAGAAAGTTTTTAGTTTTGAGGTCCGGATTATAGATCATTCCGAATTATGGGTGTCCGAATTAACGACTTTTGACTGTATTTATTTGAAACAAAAGTAAATGTTTTATAATATTTATAACATGCAACATTTTTTACTTTCATGCTCACTTTAGACGTCGTGACATCACTCTTTCGTTATTTATTCCCCTCTAAAATTTTGGCCATTTTTAACTTCATTCATTTAACTTGATGGCCATTTTTTTGGCCATCAAAGCGAAAAACTAGTAGCAGTTTCTTTGCAATATATCTTGGGTTTCTTCACTAGTTTTTCAGTTACAGGTAAAACTCAGAAATGTGAACCATATTGTAAATTTTTTTTCAAGTAGAATTTTGCATACTGAGTCAAAGTGGAAAAATTACCACCAAATTATAGTGACCAATTATTTATTAGGTAAATTATATAAAGATGAAAGTGAAAAATGAAGGAAAGAAGAGGGGTTTTCATGCCAATAATTTTGCTTCCCAATTCCTTTTCTTACTGCTTTGCACTTCATATACCGTAATTTCGCACGTATAGTCCGCAGACACGATTTTATATAAAAAAAATTTAAAAATTGTCAGATAGTCCGCACCACCGGATAGTCCGCGGACAATACGTCCGAAATTACGTTTTTTTAATACGGCAATATTCCCATGCTTTTTAAACACATCCTTTTGTTTGCGCAAATTTCTCACCGCTTTCTTGTCCACTTCAAAATAACGGAGTAAAATCCTAGTATACGGTGCAGCCTTGGCGCGACTTTGAAAATTATCGCCAACACCAAAAATGATCCAAAGAATGTCTATATATATACTATACACGCATAGTATATATACTATATACATAGTATATACTATGTTTAACTATATATTTTCTTTGAATGACCCGTTAACTACTCATCGTATATGTCCCGTTTTTACTGCTCATCATAAAGTCGCCAAAAGTAGTCAAATCCCGTGTGCACCGGATACTAGGATTAAACCAATAACGGCCCGCTTCTCTATTTCCATCTTTTTCAGTTTTCTCAACTACCACTCAGCAGTAAATCTCCGGCGATGTTTCATCAACGTTAGCGAAGATGAAAGACAAAATACGAAAACAAAATACTGTGCAACGTGCTATCCTCGTGATAAGTGGTAATGAAATGTGACCTTCGACCCCACTCACTCGGTGTTGCCAAACCACGCTATAAGTAAACGAATCACGCTTTTTTTCGTACTCCAGGTACTTGCTACTATGGCTCCTAAAAACCGAGTTGACGCATCAACTACTTTTCCCCCTCCCGGCAGTTGTGCTAAAGCAGTGCGAAGGATACTTGGAATCTCACGCTTTTTTTATATTTGATCATCGGCAGTTCACGACAGCGTGTTTTTTAAATATCAACAATTTTAACCGTGAACAACCAGCATATTATCCGCACTGGTGGATAGTCCGCAGCTTCAAAAATTCGCATTTTAAACACAGATAGTCCGCGGACTATACGCGCGAAATTACGGTACTTTGGGGCTGAAGAAGTAACTTCTATTAGATAATTAAACATGGGTTAAAATAAGAAAGGTTTATATCTGATTATACAATGGCAGCAGTTACTGAGTTATGGCTCTTCACAAAGATAAATATAATAGCAAACGGGTGAAGCGCAGAATCGCCCACTTATTTCGCGCCTTTTTACAAGAATTGGATTTTTTCAATTTCCTTTGACCTTTTTAAGTGAAAATATATCGATGAGTACACGGACAAAGTCAAGGGAGTGCGCAATGTCGAGTTTGTGCAATTCTCTGATCTTTTTTAAAGTGAAAATAGGTTGATGTGTACAAGAATACAGAGTTTGTGCAATTCTTAAAAAGGTGCCAAGCAGGTGATTCTGCACTTTCCCCTAGCAAATTATTACTCACTCTGGATAACCCTTCCATTTAAGGTAATATTCTGTTTTATTGGTTGCAGTATTTATACGTTTATCCAATATTTTTTCCACAACATATTCATCTTCTTCAGCCTCTTCCTCTTCTTCTACTGTTTGCTCTTTTTTCTTTTTTGAAGACATTTTCAACCTAATATGTCAAATTACAACAATTAATACAGACTACTTAATCAAGGTAATTACATAATTTTTAAAATTATAAATTTTCATAATTCAAATTTTAAAAATGCATTTTTAGTTTGCATCAATGAGGAGTTCAATCTGTTCACTAATGTAAGACATGAAATCTATCACAGCATCCACCCTACAAATGGTATGATTTAAATATAACCAATACTTTTAAGAACATAAATATTAGTACTTAAAATGACTTTGCCAAGGCAAAATGAAATCTGATACTATGAGAGTAAAATTTCACATTTCCTATACACAGAACAAAATTTTAGTCTCTTAATGAAGAAACACTGCAATTAACTGACTGAAAACAGTAAAACTTAAGAAACTCTAGAATGTGGGTCATAATTAATTTTTAAATAATGTATTATGTAAAGATGAAAAAAAGGCTAGGTTTTCAAAGCCAAGTTAAGTTTTTTTACATAGTTTTTAGATAAATAATGAAATATGCAACAGAAATAGAGGCATTCATGCACACTTATAATTTCTATATTCCTATCAAATCCTTTTGAAATATCTGAATTGCCAAATATCATTCCTTTTAAAAGCCAGGCATATTTTAACTTTTTTTACATCGTGAAATCCTAAACTAAAATTTAAATCGTCATGAAATCTTACAAAAACTTCATTTTAAAATATTTATTAAATGATATTATACAGTACAAAATCTGTAATCCGGAATTGTCGGGACTTCAGAGATTCCGGATTATAGATCATCAATTTAAATCTGGTAAGATGGCATGCAAAAATTAATACAATTAAAAATATGAAACTGTAATTTATGAAATAAAGAGCAATTATGATCTAAAAGGTATCAAATTTTACAAAAAAGTTTAATACTTATTTGTTTACTTTATTAAACATTTCTTTCAATGTGCACATGAGTAAAGTTGTGGCGTTGAGGTCCAGATTATAGATCATTACGAATAATGGATGTCCAAGACTACGGACTTTGTACTGTACTTCTTACATCTCCTTAATCCTATTTGAAATTTTTTTTTAATACTGCATTCAACACACCATCTCCAAGGTGAGTTGCACTAATCATGCAAGATAAAAAAACTGATACAGATATGATACATCTGTCGAGAAGGGGTTAAAATTGTTTTTTCACTACATAATATACGAGGGTAAGTTGAAAAATAAGTTTCCCCTGTCGACTGTGGTCAGAGTTGTGTATGAAAGTCAAAAAAATAGAATGAGACATTAAAGATATGACATACCTTTATTTTTCCACATAGGTACCAAGTACATTGAGACATTTGTCATATCGCTTGATAAGCTTCAAAAAGCCCTCCAGGAAAAAATCAGGGCTTTGCATATGGAAGAAGCGTTGAACAGCTTGTTTCACTTTAGTATTGCTTCCAAAGCGCCTGCCCCCGAGATTTTTCTTCAAAGCCGGAAACAGATGGAAGTCGCTTGGTGCGAGATCAGGACTGTATGGCGGATGGTGTAGGCGCTCCCAACCAAGAGTTGCAATATGGTTTTGCATTGCCGTCGCCGAATGTGGTCTGACATTGTCATCCAACAGCAGAATGCCAGATGTGAGAAGGCCAGGCCACTTTTTCCGAATTGCCTCTTTCAATTTTGACAGGGTGTCACAGTAGCGCGTAGCATTGATGGTTCCAACCTCCAAAAAGTCCAGCAACAAAACTCCTTGGGCGTCCCAGAAAACTGTGAGGAGCACTTTACCTGCAGAGGGTAAACTGTCTTGAACTTCTTTCGGACAGGTGATGACGGATGTTTCCACTCCATAAATGCGGCCTTCGATTCTGGCGTGAAATGGTGGACCCACGTTTCATCCCCCGTCACAATCCGAAACAGAAAGTCATTGCCATCTTCATGGTAACGCACGAGATGTTTTAGGCTGACCCCCATGCGTTGTTCCTTGTGTGTCGAGGTCAATTGTGGGGGCACCCATCATGCTGACACTTTTCTGTATCGAAGAATGTCGTGGATGATGTTTTGAGTTCGCTCACGTGAGATTCCAAGTTCTTCCGCTACTTCATCGATGGTGATACGCCGGTTCGCTCTAATCATGTGATCCACCTTCCTGACATTTGCATCTGTAGTGACTGTACGCGTCCGTCCAGCTCTTGGTATGTCCTCCACTTGCTGACGTCCATCACTGAATGCGCGACACCATCTGTGCACCATTTGCTTCGACATCACACCTGGCCCATAGACTTCCACGATGCGGTTATGAATTTCTGTTCCTGATACTCCACGTACCCATTCATAGCGGATAACCGCTCTCACTTCCTCCTTTGACCACGAATTCAAAACACACCTTCACTCCATACCTACCGGGGCTCAAATGAGAAGCTGGTCTCTGCTTTGCGCAGGCAATGCAACAGCGCCATCTGCTTGATTTCCAGCGACCTCTACCTAATGGTGTATCGGTGACTTGCGTGTTTTCCTGCTGTGTCACCTTTCGCCCATAGCCGTTCAACGCTTCTTCCATATGCAAAGCGTGAATTTTTCTTGGAGGACTTTTGGAAGCTTATCAAGCGATATGACAAATGTCTCAACGTACTCGTACGAGAATAATAAAATAAAGGTATGTCATATCTTTAATGTCTCATTCTATTTTTTGACTTTCATACACAACTCTGATCACAGTCGACAGGGGAAACTTATTTTTCAACTTACCTACTTAGAACATGTTTAATATATTATACAATCCTTAACTGTGAAGTAAAATTTGTATCTTAAATTGCTAAAGTTGTGTTTTCCTTCAATATACTGATAGCATTTGGCAACTTACGTTAAGTATGAATATTGTGGTATTTTTTCGAAAAAAAATCACCTACTTGCTCTTCGTAAGTAAATTGACTTGCGTATTATGACACTGACTGGCTAAGTAGCATGATTTAGTGCCATTTATAGAAAACCGTCCTTCAGAAGTATTATCAACATGTTATTTGCAACCACCTCGGCAGAAATTATTTTCAGAATGCGCCACACTGGCAACCATGTGCATCGCAGTTCTTCAGTCACGCAAAGCCATCACTTCTACACGTGTTCTTTTTGTTGTATTCCAATGGCTTTTCTAAACAAAGATTAATATTTTATGCTTTAAACTTAATTTTAAATTAAGACTTTTAGAATTTGCCACGGACAGAAGAAACTGCAGTAAAATATTTTCAGGAATACATAATTTTGTTACAAAATCTCTACAGGTAAAAAGATGCACTGGGTAGTTTATATTACTGGAAATTGTATGAAGCTGTATTTTTGCACTTCTCTGGAGTTTTTACTCTGTATACTTGGAAAGAACAACAAAAAAATTACAGAAAGAAAAGTGTTGGATAAAAAATTTGTGTTTTTTAATGCATTGCACAATACTTATTTAATAATTAAAATTTGTATTTTAAACTAATAAAGTAAGATTTCTTTTCATATGTTAATCTTTGCCATCTAACTGTAAAAGAGTTTTGGAATCTTTTTATTAACATTCACGAAACCCAGAAATTTGCAGCCAATATGCAACTTTTACATTTTTATATATTAAAAATTATTGTTAATCTTTGGATTATGGTAACTTGGCTAGTTTATGTTTGGACGCTATATTGTTTCACGAAGGCATGTTTTTTTTTTACTCTACATTTTTTTTCCAACAATCTGCTAGCCGAATTACGCTTATGCTAGAACTTTTCTGGAACAAAAGTGCTTAATCATGACTTAGATTAGGTGTGAAATTGGGAGAAAGTGCAGAATTGCAAACTGCTTGCCGCGTTTTTAAGAATTGCACATACACAGTATCATCCATGTACACGTCAACCTATTTTCACTTAAAAAAAATCTCAGAATTGCACAAAAATGGCATTGCGCACACTCTTGACTAAAGTCCTAGCTAGTAACCTTTATCGCCTTACCAAAATGCCGCCAAACTACCTGTTACCATATTCCAAAGATTAGCCAAAATGATAAAACTACACGAAGGTGTTATTACTTAAATAACATTTTCATAAAAGCATATGTGATAAACAAATTAATTGAAAGATCTGTATAGATTGAAAACTGTCCATATGTGAATAGAAAAACTGAAAACTTAAGTTTAGTAGACGACTCCAGTCTGGTGATTTTTTGGCATTTGCTTGGACATACATTCATTAATCTGGCAGTTTTATGTTGAGTTCATGAATAGTAGTAAGACAACTATCACAAAATGCTTGAAAGAGTGACACAAAAGCAAATTTAGTATTCTTTGTGCCAATAGTATTCTTTAGCTTGCTTACAACAGCACATAATACTTCTATTGATCAATCATCCTACATATTGTGGCACACCGTGTTATAATACTGTCCTGATTCTAATCTATAAATTAATAATCTATGAATTAATAATCTATAAATATTTATGCACAGCAATTTTTCTATTAATTGCTAAAGACTGAATATGCATCTTCCATATATTTTCATTTCACCTATACGAACAGTAAAATTTTTGCTTAAAACATACAAAAATCATTTGACATCAAAGCTCCAATGTTACCAAATTTCCTCCACATTAAACAATATACGTGAGTACTTCAACTACAGTAAAGTTTTTTTATTATTATTATTATAGCGCATAAATATTTCTTTGAAGTTTTTTTTATTATTATAGTACACACAGTAAAATATTTGCTTGGAATAATTATAAACAAGCACTCAAATCCCCTTTTCAGCACTAACTTTTCCTTTAAGATTGTGTCCGAAATGGACTACGTTGTACTGTCACCTACAAATCACCCTGGCCCATGCCAACACAGATGAAATTCTGTTCTCTTTGTCATGATAAAATTCGTGAACTTGATCTTATGTTACACAAGTAAGATAAATCGCAAAACACATAATAAAATGTTACTTATAATTTGTGTGCAATTCAAACAATAATATTTCCAAATATAAATACCACATAATAGAGTTAGCACAATTTGCACACACGTTTCTTTCTAAACTGAACCAAGTTACTGCAAATCGCTATATACCACTCTTTTTACTGTATTCATATGACAACAGAAACTATTTTCTAGAATAAAATATTCACTTCAATACACAATAATATTTAAAATGGAATATATTTGCAGACTATGACACAATTTTAATTAAAATGAATTTCATATTTTAATACAGTAAAAAACAATGATATCTCAGTAATTACTAAAGGCATTCTTAAAAACAATGAAATGAAGTAATTCATAAAATCGATACGTACAGAATACGCAAACACGACAGAAACCTTCAGACGTAATAACAATACAGGGCGAAACGTCAAAGACTTCTAACCAACGCTGCGGTACTGCAAATTTTAGTCAGTGACAAAATCCACAAAACGAGTATACGATAATAAAAAGCGCGGTTAATTAATATGCTATATATTCTCAACATTTTCTCACATTAATTAATTATTTTTATTTTAATATCTAAATTTATGAGCATTTTTGAAAAGCTTAGAAATTAAATTTGCGACAATAAATATTGGCACACAGAATAGAAGTTCGCTGGTTGTATTGGAATGAATATTGGGAAATCCTTCTTTTTATTTTCCTAAATATTAGTTTTGAAACGCTTTAAAACATATTTGTTTTCAAACTTAAATTCAACAATATGATCAGTACAACTAAAGAATGCTATTTTAAATGCATGTTTAATTTTCTGAATATTGAGGTAGCTTTCTCAGTACCCAGCTCAAAAGTGGCAAAAAGGAAAATTTTAATCCAGTGAACACTGGTAGTTCGGTCGGTCCAAATTTCGAATCCCGGCGAGCGGGCTGGCTGCATGGGTGTTTTCGTGATTTTCCGCATGTGCATCGTGTATGCAGTGTCTTCTGGATGCATATGTGAATAAAGCGGGCGCTGCCCGCGCAAAACCGATGAACAATGGTAGTTCGGTCCAAATTTCGATCCCTGCGAACTGGCTGCTCCATGGGTATTTTCTTGATCTTACGCATGCGTATCGTTTACGCAGTATCGTTTCCATGCATGAAGAAAGGGGGCGCAGCCCACACAAAACTGCTGGAGACTGGTAGTTAGCTCCAACTTTCGAATCCCGGCGAACGGGCGGTCTCCATGGGTGTTTTCGGAATTTTAGGCATGTGTTTCGTGTATGCAGTACCTTCTGGATGCATATGTCAATAAAGCGAGCGCAGCCCGCGCAAAACCGAAACTGATAGTTAGGTCTAACTTACGAATATCGGCGAGCGAGCTGGATGGGCGTTTTCGTGATTTTACGCATGTGTATCGAGTATGGATTATCTTCTTGATGAAAACGTGAATAAAGCGGGCGCAGGCCGCGCAAAACTGCTGAAAACTGATAATTAGGTCAAACTTTCGAATCCCGGGGAATGGACTGGCTGAATGGGTGTTTTCGTGATTTTCCGAATATGTAAGGTGTATGCAGTACCTTATGGATGCATACGGGAATAAACCGGTTAAAAATCGCCGGAAACTGGTAGTTCGGTCCAACTTTCGAATATAGGCGAAATTTAACATGGAAACTCTTATACACACGAACAATTAAAAGCGGGCTTGCCCCCTAGTATTGTATATTTATGATTTTCGGCCGATGCTATTCGCACCAGCGGGGCGATTATCCACTTCAGCTATTCGCACCAACATTAACCACGCATGCGCATTGAGTTGTCGGATCCGTCATTTGAACCTAATCGAAAAGAACGGATACGTGAACTGTCTAAGTGCTGTAGCAAACATTTTTTTTTTTAAACGTGGGTTTTTTTTTTTATTACCTTGGCTTACTTATTTTATCATTTAAGCGTTGGCGACTTTCAAAAGTTTAGAAAGGAAAATGGGTTCATTTTCTTATATATACTAAAAGAAGGAACACATTTCCTTATAGTAAAGTATATATATATATATAAGGGCATATTTTTATGTTCACAATGTTTATCGTTTTCCTGAACGGTTGGAATAGTTTAAATAACTGATTTGGGGGGGGGACAAAATCTTGTTTAAATTTTGTGTACTTCTTAGAATACATTTAACTTCAAAGATGTATTCTGCACAATCAAGACTTTAATTCATTCCTCTTTGAAAATAGTCTGAGGAAAAATAATAAAAATTAGACAGAGGATTTTTGTGTAGATAATTTAGACATGAAATAAGTTAAAAGCGATTAAATCAACTATTAAATGAAGAATTAAAATACAAACACATTAATAACTGATTTTGAAATATGGCATTTGAACCTATAAACATGTATTGATACTGAAAAAGTGATGAATATATAAGAATATTATAATGTTCAGTAAGTTTTCTTATTGAATAATAAATTCTAGCAGTCCTATGCTATAAGACTAGTGTCTAAGTTTGCTTAAAATTCCTCAGTTAAATAAAAACATTTAAGTAATTTCTGTAGCCTTTTTGTCAATACATTAAAGATTTTTTAACTAATTACACGTCCTCGCTTGCAATTAGAACCATCATTAAATCCCATTTTTATCTAATCATTTCCTTAACATTATCATGCATATAGATTGACCTCGTCTTTGTAATTGATAATTATTTCTTCCAAATTATTCTCTTGCTGGTAAACTATTAACAACCCTTTCTATTTCTGAGTTAGGGTTAACAACCTTCGCTCTGTTCTGCTCAATTATGTTCTGCTTAATAAAATTTACATGTGTGGATATAAATTTAGATTGGAAAATACAAATAGACTTATTTTCTTCCATAAAAGCACCTGTATGCTATATTTTTACAGAAGCAAAAGCAGTTTTCTGTAGTCATATATACGACGATAAGGAGCTCCTAAAAGTTCTTTAGTTTCAGCCCCTTTTCAACTTTGTTATCGCATAGTCATGTTATCGCATGAAGGTCATTAGTGATTCTGCTCTGCTAACAGTTTCACATTTAGACTCATCGTGAAAGCAATTTCCGATTTTCTGGAGGCAACCTGCGAAAATGAAGGTAGAGGTTACCAGGACCGCAGCAATTCATGAGATGTGTCTCTAAGGGGTTTCAAAAATTGCTGTTTCAGATGTTTTCCCATGCACGAAAAGAAATTAGTTTATTAGGATAAAGAAAAATAATGCTCTTCTGGAGACTGTTGACTTCTTTCAATGTTTATTTAAATAATGAGACACATTACGCAGGAGAATAGGAAGAATGATATTCTTGTTTACATTAGCTATACATAAGTCGCTTGATCACTGAGGCAGCCTACACTGTTTGCCAGCATTAGCTATACATAAGACACGTAATCTTTGAGGTCATCGGAATGTGTCTCATTAAATTATTTATGTTGCTCTCATGTAGAATCATATTCTAGAACATTAAAAAAAATCAAAATTTGTGTAAAATAAAACGTTTAAACTCACATTTCTTTCCGATTAAAATTTTACTTTATCCCTTTAACAGTCTCTTTCCTTTTCCCCCCCCCCCTTTTTTTTTTTTTTTTTTTTTTTTTTTTTTTTTTTTGTATTTTTGTAATTACTGGATAACAGATTAGTTAGTTGTATTCAGTTTTTTCCATTTACGATGGTAGATAATTAGGATATTTTGTCATGCACAATAATATCAATATTAATTTAAAGACATTTATTTGTAAGAAACTACCCAAATTCTTCGCTTAATATCAGAAGGAAATTTTTAGTGATATCGAAATAGTATTCGATGTAATAAGATAATTAATAATACAGGAAAACATATTTTTTAATTCTTTTGTTACGCTGTTCGATGATACTCGTTGTAACGACCTCTGGCATCCAACAAGAAGAAAAAGTTATAACATATGGTCATTATAGTCAAAACTGTTTTAATAATATGCAACTGGGGCTTTTTGTAATTGTCGTTGTAATGGATTAGTCGTTAACGAAATCAACTAATGTACTAATATTTGCAACGTCTTTCTGTTAGAACCAAGATACACAGATATCCGCTTCGAAAACGAGAGAAAAGTTAAAGATTCAACATCCAACTATTTAGATAAATATTCTAGGTTTGTCTAAAAAATGAAAGCGTCTAACAGGATTTTTAAAAAAAGTTGAATAATGCATATTCACGTAGTATTTAATAGATTTAGAAGTTTTCCATAAGTGATATAACTTAGAAATGTTAATTGACCAAATTTTAATGCTAAGCTCAAATTAAAGTTGGTATTGTGGGGAATCGTTCTCGTTTTTCCCAGCAGATGGCAGCACTATCCAGAATTTTATTTTTCTCCTTCGCGAAGTGCATTCTGGGCAGTAGTCCAGAAAATTTTCAATTAAAGTAGCAAAAGCAGACTCAGAAAGTCGCATATAACGTCATAAGTGACGTCATGTTTGTGACGTCATAGTTACGCATGCTCACGTGTCCTCTGAGGTCATCACAAATTTACCATCTATTGACTCTGTAAGTTACAGACTGTATTCGATTTTTATAGTCTTTTTGGATATTCTTGAGAACAACCTTGGTTGCGCCAACTTGGCTCCTTAGATAAAGATAGCGATATTCTGCGGAGAACAGCCTTGACGCGAAAAAAAGGGAGAAGCAGCTTATTATGGTAAATCAAAGAGAATATCCGTCTTTTTAATTACGTATCAGACACGTAGCCAGGCGCACCCTTCCACTTCACCACTGCCTATGCTTAAAAAAAGGGTTAATTAATTTCAAATAGATAAGGCTTAAGTTTTTAAATTATTGCTTTCCAGCTTCTCAAAAATATTCATGTGATTAACAAAGATAAACGGAAGTCAACGATTTTCCATGTAGAAGTACGACCAGGAAAAGTCATCCTTCCCCAACAAACAAGCGGCGGGAAAATACTTGAAGGTTATGAGACACTTTCAAGTCGTAAAGCTTTTGTTCTTTTACAGCTGAATAGTCCTCCGAATCCGGTCCCACTTTCCCTCTAACTGTCCTGCTAAAGAAGAAAAAGCCCTTTCACTTCGGACTAAGCATCTAAACGCATAATGGTTAAAAGAAAAAAATATTTTTTTTAAAAAGAAAGAAAGAAAGAAATTTCGAATTTCAATTAAGCCAATAAATATAGCAAAAATATTATTATTATTTTTTGAATAATAAAGAGAGAATATCAACTTCGATGCTTTCAATGCAAAGAATTTTATTTTCTTAGTCATCTAGCAATTTTAATTCTTAGTCTTTAAAATGATTTAATAGGGCAGCTGTTAAATGCGCAGATAGTTCATTCACTGGGAAGCATTTTATCATTTTATTTTATTTTATTTATTTATTTTGTGTGCGTCTGTGTTTGGAACAAATAATCAGATAATTACCCATTAAAAAGAGGTATAAAACAAGATAATTTAATAGAAGGAAAAAAGTACATAGCATATTAGTGGGTAAAATGTCTAAGATTGCTGAGACATAAGCTAGGATAGCAGTGAACGCGCTGAACGAGCT